GGTTGCAAGGTGGTCCACCCCCGGGGGGGGGGGGTGATTTCTTGCTTTCTGTCTCTCTGTCTTTCTGGCGAGTGCACGCGCCCTATAGCAAAAACCTCTCCAAGAAGAAAAAAGTACAAAAAGTTAGGTAATGGGACCAAGCAGATGGCATAGTGGTTAAGGCGCTGGACTCCCACATAGTTGACTCAGGATACCAGTCTCAGATCTGGCAGCTTGAAACTCACACCAGGTGTATGCGCGTGCATGCCCAAAATCCCGAGAGGAGAATGGAGAAGAAGGGATTGCAGTGTGGTCATTCCCCCTGGGGGAGGGGGATGATTTCTTGCTTTCTGTCTCTGTCTCTTTCTGTCTCTCTGGGTTACCACAAGTGCCTTAAAGCAAAAGTCTCTCACTCCAAATAACAAAAAAAGTTAGGTAGGTAATGGGGCCAGCAGGTGGCGTATGATTAAGGTGCTCAACTCCCGTATGGCTGACTGCTGTTTGAGTCCTGGACCTGGCAGCTTGAGACTCATGTGAGGTGTGTGTACATCCCCAACATCCCGAGAGGAGAATGGAGGAGAAGGGATTGTGTGTGGAGTGGCCATCCCGCTTGGGATCGGGGGAGAGGGGAGATTTCTCACTTTCTCTCTGTCTCTCTGAAGCTGGGTAAGAACAAGCAATTTTGACAAAGATAGACCTCTGTGTACCCAACATACCGCGGCCTAGAACAGTTCCATAATCCCAGAAAGTTTCTTCCACCTCTTTTCCAGTAAAACACGCTCTTCTAGTGGCAGCCAGTATTCTGATTCCCATCACTAGAGACTAAGTTTGGCCTGCTCTTGAACTTCATGCAAATGGAATCGTGCTCTTTTATACACAGATTCTTTCAGTCAACATAATGTTTATGAGATTCATCCACCATAGTCGGTTCTTTTTTCTTGCTACATAATATTCCATTTTGTTCATAAACTACAATTTGCCTATCCATTCTCCTGTTGTGAACATTTGGGTTGCTTTCAGTTCTTGGCCACAATGAGTAAGACTGTTACGTATAGTTGGGTTGATATATGTTCTAATATCTTTCATTTAATTTAATTTAATCAGCATCAACAAGCACTAAATGAGAGTGGTCCACCCAAGGAGAAGGGCGTATGTTAGCACTGACATTGTTTAGAATTTCAAGTGCATGGTGATAAAGTAAAAATGGGCTATTTACTTATTTATGTTGCCAAAGGGCATGTGTTCTCACAGAGAGAGAGGGAGCACCGCACAGTGGAGCGTGGTCATACCACAATCTTCTTCGCTCCATTTCTTCATCCAGTCCGGGTGTTGGGCACAAATGCACATGCACCTGGCATTAGTTTTCAAGTCACCAGGGTTGGTGTTGGAACTGCAGTTGACTGTAGGGGGCCCAGTTCTCCAAGTACAGTGCTTAACCCCCCACCATGGGGCCAGCCCTCTTGGATGGTTTTAGTACTGTTTTTACATTCTCTATAGAAATTGCACTTCTACTGGGACCAGCAGTTAGCGTAATGGCTATGTCACTGGACTCCCGCGTAGTCGACTGCTGTTCGAGTCCTGGACTCCCACATAGTGGACTGCGGTTCGTGTCCCAGACCCGGTGGCTTAAAACTCACGCCGGGCACGTGTGCGTGCGTGCCCAAGATCCCGAGAGGAGAATGGAGGAGAAGGGATTGTGGCGTGGCCATTCCCCAGGGGGTGATTTCTCGCTTTCTGTCTCTCTGTCTGTCTGGAGAGCGCACGCGCCCTATAGCAAAAACCTCTCCAAAAGGAAAGAAAGAAAGAAATTGCACCGCTACTGCCTGATCTGTGGAGAGCACTCCCATGACTGTCCCGGCCTCGGGACCTCACTGCCTACACATGGCAGCGGTACTATTTTGCACTCCCACCAGCACTCTGTGAGTTTGCATTGCTCCCCAACCTCGCCAACACTGGGTGCTGTCAGTCATTTCAATTCTAGTTGATGCTTTATTGTGGCTTAATTTGCATTTCCCTGAAAATTAATGATGTTGGAACACCTTTTCATATTGGTATTGCAAGTTTGTGTATGTGTGTGTGTGTGTGTGTGTGTGTGTGCGCGCGCACGCGCATGCAGTGCCTATACAAGTTTTTTTGTCATTTAAAAAACTGTATTGTTAGGGGCAGCAGGTGGTTTTGTGGTTGGGGTGCTGGACTCCTAGGCTCCCACATGACTGACCGTAGTTTGAATCCTGGACCTGGCAGCTTGCTTTCTTGCTTTCTCTCTCTCACTCTGTCCCTCTCTGGTCAAAATAAAAATAAACAAATAAATAAGGTTAATTCTTAAAAAAATGATATATTTTTTAATTATTAGTTTGTAAATGGTCGTTGTATGTTCTGGATATAAACCCTTTGTCATATATCCTTTTCGTGAATATTTTCTTCCAGACTGTGGCTAGCCTTCTCATGTCTTAACTTTGTCTTAGTTTATAATTTTGATGAAAATGTATCACTCTTCTCATTTTTTTTTTTTTGAGAAGTTTTTGCTGTAGGGTGCATGCAGTCGCCAGAAAGAGACAGAGAGACAGAAAGTGAGAAATCACCCCCCAGGGGGGATGGCCATGCCATAATCCCTTCTCCTCTCCGATCTTGGGCACGCACGCACACGTACCCAGCATGGGTTTAAGCCCCCGGGTTCGGGACTTGAACCACGGTCGACTACATGAGAGTCTAGCAACATAGCCATTACGCCAACTGCTGGTCCCATCACTTTTTCATTTTTATTTTATGTTTAGTGCTTTTAGTGTCCTGTCTAAAAAAAAAAAAAAAGTTGTCTACTCATAGGTTTGAACGTATTCTCAAATGTTTTCTTCCGAAAACTTTGTACTTTCACACATAAGTTTATAATCCGTTTTTAACTGACTTTAATTGATGTAAGGCAGGGATGGAGGTTTCTTTTCCGGATGGTTACTCGGGTGTCACAGCAGCATATGTGTAAGAAACCTCCCCATTCTCATGTAATTGCCGCAGGCTTTATCAAAGCCAGTGACGGACCGCCAGGATCTGGTGGTTAAGGCAGCTCAAGCCTCCGACCCGGAGGCTCGAGAGACATGCCAGGTGCATGTGCGTGTGTGCTGCCCGAAACCCTGAGAGGAGAGTGGAGGAGAAGGGACTGTGGCATGGCCAACCCCTGGGGGGTAATTTCTTATTTTCCTTCTGTCTCTCTCCAGTGAGTGCATGTGCCCTCTAGCAAAACTATTTAAAAAAAAAAAAGTCAGTTGAGAATTTATGTCAACCAGACTCTGTTCTGTAACACTGATCTATTTTTTTAAAGTGTTGCCAGAGGGTATGTGCACTTCTTAGGG